CTGGTTTTAGCAGAATGAGACCATCCTGCTATCTCATTTTTTAAGTTTCAAGTTAACTATTCTATGTCAAAAAGCCATGCATTTGCTAAGCTTCCACCTATCAGGATACATTAGCAGTTGTTTTAGTAGAATGAGATTATCCTTCACAATTCTGTTGGCTGTCTAGCCATTATTGTCTTTTTCTCACTCTTAAATAAAGGTTGAATATACAATGCAGCATGAGTGGTCAATTAAAATGGAAATACAAAATGACATTGTATGTACCATGGAGGAGTAAAATGATAGATGGCCTCGTTCACCCTGCTGTCCTATCTGCCCTTGTCTCATCTGCCAGAGGCCCTAAGAGATTCAATGAGATCATCACCCAATGCTCATCCATATACCCAAATATGCAGAGCCTCTAGCTCACTAGCCATCCTGTCCAGCAGTCTGCATGGCTTTGTCCTGTTGTATTTGGAAATCATACATTCAATCCTCATAGTATTGGTGGTGGGCCTCAGCATCACAGAGTTGATGTTCCAAATCTTTCGATTTGCTCTTTGATTGTGTTGGACATTTGTGACACCTCAGTGCAATTGGGGCACAGATAGGTGATGGTGTGCTGGGAGTTGCAGTGGTTGCAAGTTGGATGGGTGCTGCTGTTGTTGATGGGTGGGTGTCTGCTTTGAAAAATTGATTAAATGTACCAGCTGCCATAGATCCCTCTACCTCCTGTGCAATGGATGGGCCAGCCTCAACAATCGAATCCACTCATACAGCAGCTGGGATTGGGCAGCAATTCCTGCATTTGAATGCAGGAATACAAATCTCTAAATAAAATTTGAGTCAGTGTAAATACATGAAATTGTGAACATACTGAGTGAAGATCCCTCAGGGATCATCTCTCCCTGGTTGGAGGGCCCAACCCCAGTGTTGATGGCTTTGGAAGCCATCAAAATGTGTTGCTTTGGGGGACATTCCTTTGGACTTTGGGATTCTTGGGCCTCCATTGTCAGGGACAGACTTCAAGCTTGCTTTTTTCCCCTGGCTCATGATGGATTCCATCGAGTTGGAGCAGCAATCCCACCTATGGCATGGCTACATCAAATTTTGCGACCATCACATGGGAAGCAGGACTTCCTGGGGTTCTTGTAGCATCAGACCTTGCGTCTGCAGCACGAGTTGCAGGAATGGGGGTTGGGGGAAGGTGTCCTTCTGGCAGCTATGGCAGTGGGACCATATGGTCCATCCGACAGTGGATGAGGCTTGCATTTTGATTGGCCTTGAGTGGGAATGTCTTCGTCATCATCAGTTTCCGCTGTTGCCTTCCTAGAGCAGGATTGATGTCTGGATTGATGGGATGTCTTTTTCATGGAAGCTTTGCACTTCTGCCTGCCTTGCACTGGTTCTTCCTTGTCATCCTCCTTCTCTGGCACCTCATCTCCACCCTCATCATCCACCTCCATCCTGTGCAAGCTATCTGATATCATTTGCTCCACCTCTGCCTCAGTCACTTTCCATTTTCCTTTGTCACTCATAGGCATTTTGGTTGCTTGAGTGGGTGGTGTTGGTGTTGGCACAACATGGGACATAGGGAGGCCCAACTGGTGGTAGTCATATTGATGCTCAACAATGTTGAGCCACTTGTGGTTGGCAACATCAGTTTCAGAAGGGGATAGGGCAGTCTTCCACTCAGGCCACAGGTGCTCAATCAAGCCAAGGTCTTCATGCCACTTTAAGAATGTGTCAATGCTGATGAGGGTCATCAGAATCTTATCCATCCTAGTGATGAGGTTGCATACAGCATCCTGAATGCATCAGTTAGTGAACAAAATGTGATGATGCTATGACACACTAGTTCATCATTTATTGCCTTGATGGCACCTCTCCACTTCACAATCTTGTCCACCTTTCCCAGCTTGCTGCTTTCTGCAATATCCTTGAAGTAAATTTGAAGGATGCAGTTGGCCACAGCATTGAGCTCAGGCAATTTCTTGAAGAGCTTGTGAGATGACAATGACAACATGTTTCTGATGACAAGATGATGGAGTAGTTTGATGGTGAGATTGGTGATGGTGATTGGAGAGTGGAAGAGTCAGAGGTTAAAGATGGACAACAAGATATGTGGATGTCACATTTTTTATCCTGCCTCTGAATGATTCCTATGGCATGATGGCAATACTGGTACAAGTCAATAATCCTGAATGCATATATGAAGCAGAAGCTCAGATAAAAATATGATGTGTTGTTCTGGAATCGCATTGCTGTTTGTTTTGCATGTTTCCTGTCTTCTCCAATGGCAGAGCCTGGCTTGCAGCTACATAGACCAGTGCCTGAGATTCCAACTAGATAGGCAAATTGTCCAATGTGAAACACAATTTATAGTGGGAAATTCAGATACTCTATAGTGTGAGAGGTTCCACTTTCTTCATTTCTTGTCTTCCTGGGCCTGTCTTATATTGTGACAGGGGGATAACCCAATATGGATAGGCCCATCCATTTGTGGTGAGCTATCTATGATATGACAGATTGGCCTGCCTTATGCAGTGCCAAGGGTTTGTAATCCTGTGATGGATGGATTGGCCCATGTTATGTTGTAACACTGGTTTTTGTTTTCCCTTACCTGCTGCCTGAGAATACCATGGATGGGCCTGTCCTTATGTAGATCCCTTTGATCTCCCTTTCTGCTGCCTGAGAATGCCTTACATGGACCGTCCTTATGTAGATAGCTTGGATCTCCCTTGCTGCTGCCTAAGAATACCATACACAAACTCATCCTTATGTTGCAACAGGGGTGCATCTTGCTAGATGGGCCCATCCATTTGTTGTGATGATATACATGATACTACTGAAGGGCCTGTCCTTATGTTGTGACACTATTAGATGATATTACTGACAGGCCCATCCATATGTTGCAACAATATAAACAATACTACTGAAGGGCCCATCCTTATGTTGTGATGCTATTAAACAGCATTACTGATGGGCCCATCTTTATGTTTCAACAGGGTACATCTTACTGGGGCCAGGCCCACCCATATGTTGTGACAATATAAATAATACTACTGATGGGCCTGTCCATACGTTGTGATGCTATACATGAGATTACTGATGGGCCTGTCTTTATGTTGTAACAATCTAAATAATATTACTGAAGGGCCTGTCCATATGTTGCAACTCTATTAAATGATATTAGTGATGGGCCCATCTTTATGTTTTGACAGGGTACATCTTGCTGGGGCCAGGCCCACCCATATGTTGTGATGCTATGCATGAGATTACTGATGGGCCCATCTTTATGTTGTGACAATATAAATAATATTACTGAAGGGCCTGTCCATATGTTGTGTCTCTATTAAATGATATTAGTGATGGGCCTGTCTTTATGTTTTGACAGGGTACATCTTACTGGGCCAGGCCCACCCATATGTTGTGACAATATGAATAATACTACTGAAGGGCCCATCCATATGTTGTGACTCTATTAAATGATATTAGTGATGGGCCCATCTTGATGTTTCAACAGGGTACATCTTACTGGGGCTGGGCCTGCCCATATGTTGTGACAATATAAATAATACTACTGAAGGGCCCGCCCATATGTTGTGATGCTATACATGAGATTACTGACAGGCCCATCTTTATGTCTTGTCAGAGGTACATCTTACTGTGGACAGGCCCATCCATATGTTGCATAATACTACTGACAGGTCCAACCTTATGTTGTGACTCTATTAAATGATACGAGTGATGGGCCTGTCTTTATGTTTCAACAGCAGGACATCTTACTGTCAACAGGCCTGTCTATATGTTGTGACATTATGAAATGACATTACTGACAGGCCTGTCTTTATGTTGCAACAGGGGTATGGCTTATTATGAATGGGCCTGTCTAGATGTTGTGACACCATAAATGATATTACTCCCAGGCCCATCCATATGTTGCCAACTTTGTGTTCTAATCATAGACAGGCCCATCCTTATGTTGTGACCCTCTCCATGTTATGATAGGCAGGCCTGCCTTGATGTTGCAACAGGGGGGTAACCTACCAGGATGGGCCCATCCATGTCTTACAGCAACTCAGTATACTTAATTGGTCATGGGCCCATCTAAAGGTTTCAACATCCTTACCCACTGTGGGCCCTCCCATATGTTGTGGTAATGCACTTACAGGCCTGTACATATGTTGCTCTCACTTTAGTCCCTCAGGCCTGTCCATGTGTACTGGCTAATCTATTTAGGCAGGCCCATCTTGGGGTCTATATGAGTGTTGGTGTTTTGGCACACAGGCTGCCCATGTGTTCTGACTAAATGTGACTACACTATGTGAGTTGGGACACTACCATCTCCTCTATGTCACCAGGAAAATCACACAGGTGTGAGAGGATGGAGACAAGGAACATGAAGCAGAGAGTATTGTCCTATTAAAGAATGAACTGTTGAGGGGCTCAAACACTAACAACACCACAAGGTATATCAGCAGTTGGTGTACAGGACTGAGAAGGTGATCCTCTAAGTGCATACTCCACATCCTGCTGGGGATGGAGTCTATGTCATGTTGGGGATTCTCCTTGTCAAGTGTGGGGATTCTCCATGTCATGTTGGAGATTACCCATGGCCTGTGGGGGTTCTCCATGTCAACTGTGGGGATTCTCCATGACCTGTGGAGATTCTCCATGTCAGGGATGGGGATTCTCCATGCCATGTTGGGGATTCTCCATGGCCCACTGGGGATTCTCCATTCCATGTTGGAGATTCTCCACATCAAAGGTGGGGATTCTCCATGGCCCACTGGGGATTTTCCATATCAAGTGTGGAGATTCTCCATGTCAAGTGTGGGGATTCTCCAAGAACTGTGGGAATTCTCCATTTCATGTTGCAGATTCTCTATTGGCCATGGGGATTCTCCAAGTCAATTGTGGGGACATGACCTATGAGGAGGAGATTCTTCATGGGCCATGGGGATCTCCATGTCAAGGGTGGCAATTCCCCATCTCATGTTGGAGATTCTCCAAATCAAGCTAGGCTTGCAGTGGTCAATGTGAAAGATCTGAATGGCATTGTGAATGAGATGATACAAGTTGACAAGCATGTAGTAGGGAGTAAGGCTGCCTATGCAAGGGACAATGGATGTCTGAAATGCATGATGATGCTGAATGAGGCAAGCATATTCTTCACCAAGCTTTGCTTTTAACTCCAGGGAGCTTTTGTCAATACCAATCTGCAGAACTCCAGCAAGGAAGCCACCCTCCTTGTCTGTAACATCAACACAGTATTTGTGCTTGAACTCCCTGCAAAATGAGGTAATGTCCAATGGTGGAAGCTGAATGGTATGCACTTTCCTTCCACACTCTGCTGCCCAACACAGACCATCATCTGCAAGACAAAGATATATGATGCTTTTGATCCTGTAGTGACCATCTGCTTGACATTGTTGTCCTCCTTCAGGTGCTCCTGCATATATCAACCAGAATGGTCATGAGCAAGGATAAATTCACACTCAACCACACTTCTGAAGGATTCTAGGTTAGTCATGCTGGGCCTGGCCTTCAAGTGGTGATGATATGCATCATCAATACCCTCCTGGATCCTCTGCTTCTTTTTTGCTATATATGCACTCAGTATCACTGTTGAATAGCACCATTTCTCACTTGCTGTGGTGCATTCAATTTTGATTGCATTAGTATGAACAATGAGCCTGGACACATTGTGAGGGGCAATGAAGGATGTATATCAGTCACAAAATCACAAAGATAAAGCAGGGGTGATTCTCCAATTTATAGACATTCAATATATGTATACAAAGTCTACTATCTCTGTCATTTTAATGGCAATTTCACTGGTGAAGAGGGCAAATAACCATTTTCAATGTCCTGAAACCATTCCTCACCCTTTGTGGATTGCTCCTCATCTGCTTCCTGCATGGAATATTCCTCTTGCAGTGCCATCTCTTCAATGGATAACAATAGGTTATTATCACCTTCTGACATCAACCCCTCCCTATCAGAGTCATAGTCTTTTAATGATCCATGTGTTTGATCCTCTGCTGCAGATATTACACTGGGATTGTTAGCAGCAGCAAGGCAACCTGCAATTTCCTCTGCTCTGGGTCTCCAAGGTCTAGATGAAATCCATGCATGTGGAATATGTCAAACCTTTGCCTCCCAATTGACATATACTTCCACAAGGTGATCCCTCAGTGATTGCAGGTGATACTTGTAAGATTTGTCTAACTATTGTGAGATGGTGACAAGACAATGACATTTGAACTCACCTGCATGTTCCACCTGGACACTCTGCCACTCCACAGAAAACCATTCCTGCAAGGCAGAACACTCTCTTGACAATCTTCTTTCTTCTTCATTACAACAATCAACTTCTAGCATGAGCCTTATTCCCTTATGCACAGCTTCATCAGCAAGCCAAGATGGGGGATTAGCACAACCCTCTGCAAGTCCCACATCCTGCCAAATATCACTGTCAACCTCCAGTTGAAAAATTCCCTTAGGAGGTATGGGGAAAGGGGAAATTGCACCAGGGGGTGCTTTCCCAAGTCATATCATACCCATAAGCTCATCACAGAGGGTGTTGTAGTTAGTGACAGTTTTGATATGGCAGGCTCTCATTGTTTTATGGATGACTTCACATGTGACTGTAAATTATTTTCTACCACAGATGTTATTGAAAATAGCAGGCAGAAAGAACACCCTCTACTCACCATTAACAGAGTTCTTGGATGACCATTCTAGCTGCTCAAATTCAAACTTGCACTAACAAAGGCACTCCCTAATTCAAACTTTCAGTGCCTGTGCATTAGTTTGGGTTTGGAACCACTTGTTGTTCCTCAGGAGATAGAGGTCAGTTTGTGCTGAGACTCCTAATGCACTTTTTTTGTCTCAAAGCCTGAGTTGCCTTTGAGAGTGAAGCTTGTGCTGCAGTAAGTTGTAAATTGAAGTCAATGATGTCATTGACACAATCATTGTGAAGATCCATTTCCAGCTGATCCACATGGCTCTGGTGGTTCTGAACAGATTTTTCCAGGGCAAGTACAAGTGCCAACTGTTCAGCACCCTTCTTCTTTGACTGCCCTATGTGTGTATGGTGAGCAACATGATGGCATACATAGGAAAAAGACTAACAAGGTAGAGGCTGAGTCTGTGAGTGCACCTGTGCAGCCCACTCCTCTTGTAGAGTCTGCATGTCAACATGCAATGCATGGAGGGCCCCCAAAGCCATTGTTTTCTTGCTTTTGCAGTGGGACCACTTTTTGTTCAGCCACTGGCCAAGAGCAGGAAAAGACTTCTTGTCAAAGTGACAAATCTGATTATCAAGAACAAATAGCCTCTGATGGTACTAAGGAGGAAATTAACATTGGAATCATATTACAGGAAAATGAATGCTTACACCAGACACTTGGAGGATAGGAATGAGCATCCTCACTGATGACTCCACTGATATGGAGTGGGAGAAGTCCACAGAGAAGGTGCACTGATGAGAGGAGACCAAGTGGAGGGAGAGGGAGTGCAAGGCAGAGTGCAAGGCCAAGTGTGAGGAGGCCAAGCAGCAGAGGGTGGAGGAGGAGCAACTGGAGGCAGAGCACAGGCAGAGGGAGCAGGAAGAGGCTCAGAGGAAGAAGGTGGCAGAGGAAGTGGCTGCAAGACAGAAGGTGGTGGTGGAGGAGGCTGAGAGAGAGCAGCAGAGGGCATTGGAAGAGAGGGCCCAGGCCGGGTGGAATGAGGCCACCCAAAGGTGTGTAGTGGACCACTGTGAGTCAGGCAGAGCTGACTCATAGTTTATTTTTTACAGGTTATGTGGTGCCATCTATGATGCCACCACTGCCCAGAGAGTCCCAGGGGCCTCTGTGGTGGTCACTGTGTTGATGCACATTAATTATATTTCTTACACTGGTAATATCTTACATAAGCACAGTCATTTTGGCACATTGTTTTTCCTTCATGCACCTCAGTCTTCTCCCAATAGAAGCCCGAGTGTCTTCTTTTGTTAGTCTGTCACTACTTGGAAACACCCCTTCAGAAGGTTATGAGCCCTGCTCAGCTCTAACCACTGCAGTTTTAATTCCAGTCACTCTCTAGTTCTACAAGGTTGTGCTAAACAATGTCAAATCCAACTCCATCTATCTCAGTTGGTCCTCAGATGGGCCCTTCTACTGCTACAGTCACTACTCTGTCATCATCTAGCAAGGTTGCTGCTCCCTTGAGTCAGCTCTATGATATTCCATCACTTGCAGATGATGGAGGAAACTTTCAAATGTGGAAGTTTCATGTACAGAAGGTTCTTGAGATCCGAGGCCTGTGGGAGGTGGTTGGTGGCTCAGCCACAAAGGCTCCTGATGCTGCCACTCACCCAGACAAGCATGTGGAGTGGATGATGAAAGATAGGGAAGCCAGTGCACAGATTACCCTGACACTCAAGGATGAGCCTCTGAGTGGGGTCATGTATGTGAAAACTGTGTCAGAGACCTGGAAGCACCTTAGTGAATGGTATGAGTGCAAAGGGAAACAGACAATTGCCTACCTCATTGGAGAACTTTTTCATGGAACCCTTGTTGATGATAGCCCAATGGAGACTCAGCTAAATGCAATGCAACAGAAGGCACTCATACTGAACTTGCTTGGACAGACTCTCAATGAGTCACTGGTTGCAATTGCGATGGTGATCTCCTTACCTGCTTCATACTCAGTCCTTTGAACCATTCTCATGTCAACAAATGACAAGTTGACTGTGGACTCTGTAATCTTGCAAGTCCTCATAGAGGAGAGGATGCACCAGGACTTGCAGGATCACTCAGCCAGAACTGGTGCAAAGTCAAAGTCTAAAGGGAAAGGGAAGGAAAAGTCAAAGACAAAGTGCTACAACTGCAAGGAGTTTGGGCATACAAAGAACAACTGCCCAAGCCTGAAAAAGAAGGCAGATGACAAGAAGACTCCATCCTTGTTGGAGAAGAAAGAGAAGGGAGCAGACAAGGCCAATATCACAGCAAAGGTCACCCAGGTAGTTGAGGATCCAGCTCTTTGGCTGTTTGTGGCACATGTGAGTCCAGAAACCAGCCCCTCAGAGTGGGTGGTAGACTCAGGTGCATCAGCACATATGTACTGCCAGCAGTGGTGGTCTGCCACATTTAGGGTCTTGGAACCATCACAACCAGTCATTATTGGTGATGGGAGATCCATCATGGCAGTAGGGAAGGGCTAGATCAAACTCAACATGCAGGGGACTGACAGTGGGGGTGGATGAACTATTCTACAGGACATCTACTATGTTCTGGCCTTGGACACAAATCTGGTGTTGGTTCCATTCCTCATGTCTAGAGGTCTCCAGGTGACATTTGAAGGAAATGTCTGCAAGGTGCTTTCAGGAAACATGGTTGCAGCAGTTGCAGAGAAATGCAAGTTGTTGTATGTCCTGGACACAACAGTGGTCTCAGGCAGTCACTCTGCTTATATAGTCAGTGACCCAGAAAGACTCAATGCATCAGAACCACTTACAGCCCTTGTGAGCTGTGTTGTCACATTGAAGGTGTCTCTTGCCACCTGGCACTACTGCCTTGGACATTCAAACATCAGGAATGTACTGAAATTGCTGGATAAGGATATGGCTGCTGGGATGGAGATAGTGGGACCTTGCAGTCATGAGACCAATAGCTGCAAGGGTTGCCTTTAAGGGAAGCAACATCAGAATCCTATACCACAAAGGTCGGATGTGGAGAACCCAAAGGTTCTGCATTGGACATACTCAGATGTCTATGGTCTGATGGAAACTCTTGCACATACCAGACACAGGTACTTCATAACTTTCATTGATGGGAGGTCACACCATCTTGTGGTCAAACTACTGAAGTCAAAGGATGAGGTCCTTGGAATGACCAAAGAATACTTTGCACGAGCTGAAGCCAAAACTGGGGAGAAGGCAAACTACCTTCAGACAGATGGTGGAGGTGAGTATTGCTCATGAGAGTTTGATGCCTACTTGAAGTCAAAAGGAGTGCATCATGAAAAAACCAATGCATACACACCTCAGGAAAATGGAGTGTTGGAGCACATGAACTGTACCTTGGTCAAATGTGCAAGGGCCATGCTAAGTGATGCTGGACTCCCCAACAAGTATTGGGAAGATGCTATACTACATGTGACCCATATTCTAAACTGACTGCCTACATGAGCTATCCAACAGCAAGTAACTCCATATGAGGCCTACACTGGAAATAAACCAACCATCTCCCATTTGCAGGTCTTTGGATGTGTTGCCCATGTTCATGTTCCAGAGGAAAAATGT